TTTTATTGTAGCATTCAAACATTGAGCACTCAATGTTTCATGTTTCTGTAGAATTCACTAACAATTTTTATATATATATATATATATATATATATATATATATATATATATATATATATATATATATATATATATATATATATATATATATATATATATATACATATATATATATATATGTATATATATATATATATATATATACATATATATATATATATATATATATATATATATATATATATATATATATATATATATATATATATATATATATATATATATATATATATATAAATATTTATATATATATTTATATATATATTTATATATATATATATATCTATAGTAGTAGTAGTATATATTTGTTACAACAAATGTAAAGACAGTTGACAAAATACAAATGTAGATTGTCAAATCATAGATAACATTTGTGAAGCTCATAATGCAACTTCCATCAAAGAGAATTGCGAGCTGTTGTAACTTTGAAGCCTATCAAGTCTCGCTTTAAAGCTGTTGACAGATGAAGAGTAGACTACATTATCTGGCAAGCTGTTCCATGTGTTGGCAATTCGGTTATTAAAAAAATTAAAACATGTTAAATTGTTGTTATATTTTTCACGGTGAAATCTCTCTCTTAGCTCTCGGCGGAATTGTAATAGGAGGAAAATACCAGTTAATTATGTCAATGTTTTTCTCAATTTTAAATTTCTGAATGAGGTCATCTCGTTTACGGCGGTCAATTAGAGATGTGAGGCCAAGTTTTTCACATCTAGACTGATAGTTTAAATTTTTCAATTTGTGCGGTATCTTTGTGGCTCTGTGTTGCATTTTCTCAATAACTTGCTCGTCTTTCACCAAATGAGGGTTCCAAACTGGGATAGCAAATTCAAGTAGAGGACGGACATAGGTGGAGTATAGTTGTTTCCACAGAGAAGCATCACGACATTGGAAGGTATGTTTTAAAATACCAAGCATTTGGTTTGCTTTACATGATGCGATGATGGATTGGCTTTCACTTTAAGATCATTACTAATTTGGATTCCCAAGTCACGTTCAGAGGTGGTTTTTTCCAAATTTATTCGTGCCACTATCGAATTAGAGCCAGTTTCTTCCATTGAGTACTCGAAGGGAATTGAATTTTTTTGACTAAAGTGCATGACTTTGCATTTTTTTACGTTTAACTCCATGAGCCAAGACTTGCTCCAAAGAACAATTTCATCAATGTCTGATTGCAGTTGAAGCTGAGCTGCAAGTTTATTGACAACGCTGAAGATGTTAGTGTCATCAGCATAGATTTTACAAATGTTTTATATGTATATATATATATATATATATATATATATATATATATATATATATATACATATATATATATATATATATATAAACATATATTATATATATATATATATATATATATATATATATATATATATATATATATATATATATATATATATATATATATATATATATATATATATATATATATTAGAATTATATATATATAGAATTCACTAACACTAACTTATTATCAGGCATGATTTGATGACAAAGGGAAAGAAATGAAAACTTATATTTTGAGAAAATAACTGCACTGTTTTGGAATTACGCAGGATCTTAAACAAAATTTTAATATGTTTTGCCTGTCGTTTTTTGCGCGTGCGCTTTAAAATGTAAACAAAGCAACCCGTCTATATATTTATTGTATAAAACTTCTTTATTTAGATTGCTTTTTGACAGATATTTTGTTGAAAAAGAACTTGTGTAATTACCCATTTGCTAATTTCCAGACATGTATCAAACTCCAAACATTTATATTTTTATAACTATGTCAAATAAGCATGCTTTGAAAATCATTGTGATAAATGGAGCTTTAGAACAAAAAACCCCTAAATTTTTGCCCCCAACCCTGCCCCAAACGTAAGAGCTCACTGACAATGATGTTGAGAAACTTGGAAAAATATTGCTTCAGCCATGCAATAAGATAAAACTTGATAATATTATTCTTGTTTACACTAAAACAGGAAAAACCAAAAAAATTAAAGCAAAAAATGTATAAAGTAGAAAAATTGATACACAATCTATTTTGATACAAAATACAATTGATACAAAATACTACAATACAATAATGTTAAAAGAAGCCAAAAAAAATTTTACTCTTTGAGCTATAGAAAGTCATTATGGTCGCAAGAAATGTGTAAAACTTTTTCTTCAAACATGTTTAAAAATTAATAACAAGTGTACATTACCTCAAAAAAGTCACTTTTGATTGGTATTTTTATTTCTTATAAGAAAAATTTTCTATTTCTTATAAGAATTATTTTGTATACAAAATATTTTACAGAATATATGTTGCTGAATTTAATTCATTTCATTTCATAATTTATTTCATTTAAATCACCTGCTTCTGATACTTCCACAACACTTAATTGCTGTGCAAGTATCAGGAGCAATGATTAAAAATTGCAATGATATTGAAAAGACTGATTATTTAATTAAGCTGAGAATTCACAATTGTTACGATACAAGAAGCTTTACTTAAGACAACTTAGCTTGTATAATTTTGGCCTGTATGATTTGAATAGCAAACCAAACTCATACACCTGGTTAAAATTCCAATCAGGTAGAGGATCAAATGAAGTTGCCAGTGCAGTGTATCATTTTCAAACAACACTTTTGCCAAAATCATTTCATTTAACTGATTTTGACACACTTCGTTTAGTTAGTGATGGAGGTGAAGGTCAAAATAAAAACAATATTGTGTAAACAGTGGCACAAATTTGGCTGTTTAATTCATCAAATCATATAAAGAAAGTTGATTTAATTTTTTCAGCAAGCAGACATACTTATTTACCATATAAGAAACTGGATTAGAAAAATCTGAAAACAAACAATAAAATTCTAGAGCCCAGTGTTTTTGTACAATTTTCTCAAGTCATCGTAATACTGTAAACAGACTTAACTTAAAATAGTTTGTAAAAAACTGAAAAATGTCATCCACTTTGACATTTAAACCTTTTGTTGGATTTTTACAATTTAAAAGATTTATATTAAGTAAAAAGTTCACAAACAAAAAAACATTTATGATTACAATCAGAAATTAACAATAAATGAAATTTAGGTAATCCAATTTAACTTCTAAATAGAGGAAAGAAACATGTGTTCAATCCAACAAATATAATAGAAAATTAGTTTTATTAGTTCAGCAAAGCTCTAAGATATATATATATATATATATATATATATATATATATATATATATATATATATATATACATATATATATATATATATATATATATATATATATATATATATATATATATATATATATATATATATATATATATATATATATATATATCTTAGCAAAAATTGCAGTCAACTTGGTGACCTCCACAAGAGTATCTATAAACAAAGCAGCTAATAAAAGCAACCAATTGGCTCCTGAAGACATTGACATCTCAACTCCACGTCAATCAGCTATTTACAAGTCAACAATCAAAGAGGCAATCAAGCTGAAGGAAGAAATGATTAAAAAGTTGCATTTGGAAAGTTGGTCCTTACACTTTGATGGCGAACATATTGACAGAATGGATTATCAAGCAGTTGTCCTTAAAAAAGAAAGAAGACAAATCAAATTGGATGTCCTTGGCTTGGTAGATTTAAATAACATGTTAAGGCTTGTCTATAACTGGATGTTCTTGGCTTGGTAGATTTAAGTGTCTTGTTAAGGCTTTAATGCACTGATTTAGATGTTTATTATAATGTAACACAGAGTATAATAGTTTATTAACATTTAGCTTGTTTAGTTGGAATGGAATCTCATTATATAAAATTTTCATCAGTGAAATTATCATTAACATACAATTTTAAAAGAAGCACGAACTATACAAACTAATATTTTCTTTTTTAAGAATATAACAGCAACTGATTCAAACAAAGCCAAACCAAACATTATCTTACTGAAAATAATAGCACTAACATATTTGTATCTCCTATGTATATTATATATATTTATAAACAGATTTTAGTTATTACAAAACATTTTCATCATATTTTATTCCATGTACCTTATTGACAACAGGCATACAAAATCACATACACACTAAGGTGTAATAATAGAAATTAAAAATATAAATAATTAAAATATAAATAATTTTTTTTTTTACATTAATCAGCCTCGCATTTATTTTCACACTGGTGAAAGACAAAAAATATGCATCAAATTACTCAACATAATGTAAATCAATAAAAATAACATAAACCAATAAAAAAAAAACATAAATCAATAAAAAAAACATAAATCATTAAAAAAAACATAAATCAATAAAAATAACATAAATCATTAAAAAAAACATAAATCAATAAAAATAACATAAATAGATAAAAATAACATAAATTAATTAAAATAACATAAATCAATATAAAACAAAATATTTAAATTAATGGGTATATAAATAAAAATTTAATTGGTAAAACGGCCGATAATTAAATAATTGTTTATATACCCATAATAGCTAATTGGTTCTTAAGGGGTACCATCTTGGTATCATCAACAGGAACATCACTAAAGCCCTAATACACACAGAGAAAAATCTTATTAAAAACAAAGAACCCGATGACACCCACATCTTCCCCATAGTCACACCTTACAATGAACAAGGTATACATATCAACAAAGTGATATTACACAACTGGCACCTTATCCACAAAGACCCACCACACTGTTTCCACCAGCACTCAACCTCACACACACACTAATACACTTTCCCTCTGAGAAATAGACTTATTGGCACTAAATACACTGCCAATCACAATAACTGAATATCCACTGTTTGGTCTAGTTCATATTTAGCCGGTAGGGCATACTTCTGCCCCCACCCGCATGTTACAATTTTGTATTTTAATTATTTTACACATTAAGTATACTCCCTATGTTGTTTATGTTTTTTACTTTATTATATAATAACTCAATAAGCAAAATTGTTATACTATTACTCATTTGACCCTTGTAGATACACCAGAATATTACTAGAAGACTTTTGTTAAAATCCATTAAACAAGAAAGCTTAGACATATTTACACAAAGATACTAGACACATGATTTACAAACTTAACTACTATTTTAGGATAAACATGCTATTATAAATTATAAATTTATTAGAGTAAGAAAAAATATTTTATCAACAGAAAATACTTTTAATATAATTTCTATACTATTTATATCCTTTAAACACCTGTATCTTTATCTAAAATGACTTATAATAATGCAATGAAGCATTAAGTACTTACCTAAAATAGAAAATAACAATAAAGATTCTTTAGAAGAATGCTTGGATGGAATCAAGTTAACAAGAAATTTTAATAAACTATTTTGGTTTTTATTGGTTAATCCACAAATCATTGATAAACAACTCTCCAACCTTTTATCAGCTATAATCTCTTCACTACTTAAACAATTATATGCATATACAGATACACAAAACTCCATTATTGTTAGATGTGCAAATTGATAATAATAACCTAGATTCGTTTCAATCCTTTCTATAAATCCAAAAAAATTGTCTTTATTTTCATTAAAGTCATCGATAAAAGTTTGAATGTCTTCTCTTGAAAAAATTACTTTATTTTCAACAAACAATTGATATGCAATTTTACAAATATTCAAAACATATTTTTTATTGGAATCGTTTTCCATTATCTGATAAATCAATTCATTGCTTTTGATAATATGTTTTTGCAAAAAGTATAAAAAAATATTTGCATACAAATCTGTCATTGTTAAAAAAGAACTTTTATCTTCATTTTTTGAGTCACTAATAATTTTACACATGGAAGATAAATAAAATGGAACAGATGACATGGATTTTGCAATCGGAGATTCCTTCAAAGTTGCTTTCACAAACTCTTTTTTTTCCTCAAAAACATTATTTTCTATGTAATTATTTATTCCATTTTCATTAAATCCCATTATTTGAATGGTTAATTTATCATTATGCTCTGTTGATATACTTTGGTATTGATCAATTGCATAAACTCTACCAGCAACTACATATTTGTAGTTTTGAATTTCAGTTAAAGCATTAAGGATTGGATAGTGACAACTCAAACTTGGATTTATTAATTCATTTAAATATTTAAACTCATCTAATCCATCAATTATAAATAGTGCAGTATGATTACTAATACTAAAATCATTGATAATATCTTTGTAGAAAACATTTAGTAATTCATTAATATTAGAAATTTTTTGATGTTGATTCAGCCTCCTGCATTCCAAATAAAATACAAGTTTGACATTTTTCCAAATTAAATCGTTTGACCAATCAAGCAAACATTTTCTTAGCAACCATGTTTTCCCAATACCAGCTATTCCAGATATTAATGTTACAGATTTTTCTTTCATAAATATTTCACTATATGGAATTGGTGTATAACGCAATTGCTTTTCAAGATATTTCTTTCGTTCAATTCTATAAACAGCATCTTTTTGAGTAGTAACAGCATCAACGATACATAGATCAACAAATTTATTCATTAGATCAACATTTGCGGGTAATTTTAATGGTGGTTGAATTTCATTGATTTTCCCATATTTTGTAAGATAATAACTTTTGAGTGCTGTGCATATCTCAGATATATCTAAATACAACAATTTGTCATCATCATCATCATCATCATCATCATCATCATCATCATCATCATCATCATCATCATCATCATCATCATCATCATCATCATCATCATCATCATCATCATCATCATCATCATCATCATCATCATCATCATCATCATCATCATCATCATCATCATCATCAACATCATCATCATCATCATCATCATCATAATCATCATCATCATGGTCGTCGCCAATGTTGTTATATTTTGGCAACGCTGGAGCAGTATGGGCTCTATTTATTTCTAAATTTCTAATTTATAATCTAAATTTCTGTTCATTTTAGTTAAGTTGCATTGTTAAATGAGTCAAAAAATAGTAAACTTGATAAATTTTTGCATTTAATCATTATATTTACCATTATTATTTAAATTTGTTTTTTTACAAATTTCTTTAGTTTTGTTTTAAAGTTAAGAAATGAAAGAGTATAAAAAAATTAGAGATATGATATAGATTTACTTTCAAAATTTTTCTGAATTTCAAAAACATAATCGTACATTACTAGTGATAGTGCCCATTAATTTCTGCACAAACGATATTGTCATTTTCTTGCATGGTTAATACTAAAGGCTGTTTTAGGCAAACAACCTTTGCCAATACCCCATTATTTTTTGATGGGCTGAAAGTGTGGGCAATTGGTGGATTGAGATTTTTTGATACAAAATTTACCTTTCTTAATTTATACCACTCCAAAGTTTTTTTAGCGTAGTAGTACAACGCTATGTCATGCCAAAACAAACATGTGATCAAATGAGTGGTTTATAATTTAAATAAACAATGATTATAAAAACATAATTATAAAACAATGAACATAATTTAAATAAACCTGTCAATGAATATAAATTTAGTATAAAAAAGTAAAAAAGAAAAATTTGTCAACTTAATGCTTTTACATTTAGAGTTATGAACTAATTTTGGGGTATTTCTGTTTCCAGGCCCCAATCACGGTTATTTTTTTGCTAAATGATATTGTTTGAAATTAACAAATATAATTAAATTTGGAGTTTGCACAACACCTGTGCAAACTCCTAACTTTGTTTTTAGATAAACCAGTCAAAAAAAACTAGCTTAAAAAAGTTTTCCTTTGGTAAAATGTCGAAAAAAAAAAGTAAACTTAATAAATTTTGCGTTGTTAAACAAGTCAAAAAAAAAAAAAAATTAAATAAATTTTAGCATTGTTAAACAAATGAAAAAAAGCATACTTAGTAAATCTTCGCATTGTTAAATGAGTCAAAAAAATAACAAGCTTAATAAACTTAATAACTTTTCCATTGTTAAACATGTCAAAAAAAATTGTTAAATCCAATAAATTTTTGCATTGTTGAATGAATCAAAAAAATATTAAACTTAAAAAATGTTTTGCATTGTTAAAGGAGTTAAAAAAATAGAAAACTTAATAAAGTTAATAAATTTTTGATATGTTAAATGAGTCAAAAAAGAAAAAAATTAATAAAGATATATATATATATATATTTTGTGTGTGTATATATATATATATATATATATATATATATATATATATATATATATATATATATATATATATATATATATATATATTAAATAGAAATTGTGCAAAAACTATTTATCTCATAATAAATATTTGCATTGTTAAATGAGTCAAATATAAATTGTGCAAAAACTTAAGTCATGATAAGTTTCTGTAATAAAAAAAAAGCAAACTAAATAAAAATTTGCATTGTTAGGCTCTTTGACTTCCTTTTTTTTTTACTTACAAGAGTAAGTTAATTTTTATGAAAAAGTAAATTCTTTTTAATAAAATGATTTACTTACATTTCCGTCTAAGTAATTTATTATATTTAAAAGAATTTTACTTTATAATGTAAGTTTTTTTACTTTCAAAAGAAAATTATGTAAAAGAAGATTAATCAAATAGTAATTTACTTTTACAAGTAGGTCACATGTAAATGTTAATTACTTTTAAAAGTAAGCCACATGAAAAAACTGTTTACTTTTAAGCATAAAAGTTAATTACTTTTTAAAATTACTTTATATAATATAAAAGTTCCTCAAAATGTAATTTACATTTACCTATAAAAGTCACAAATTTAAAAAAAAGTTACATTAAAAAAAAAAACTTGCATATGATAATAAATTCCATAAAAGCAATATGCTACCAAATGCAAATTAAATTTACAAATAAAATAATAATTTTTGATTAGAAGATTTTTTATTCTAAAAGTAATAACAAATTTTTATTAAAAATAAATTATATAAAACAAAAATAAAATTACATAAGCTTACATTTTATATAATTTTTAAAGTAAATTAAAAATATTCTATATAATAAGTAGAATTCAGACAAAGCTGAATCTGAATGAAAAAAAAGCAGTGAGAAGGCTTATACACGTGGGATACTGAAAATGGGTTGACTATTTAAAAAGCATAATTGGCTTAATTATTAGTTCTTTTTACAGGTTTTTTGCGTAAAAGTTTTTAGTATTTAAAAGCTAGGGAGGGAAAGTTTAAAGCAGTTCCAGATTATTGGGGCTACAACCCCAAGTCCCGCAGATTTAGGAGCCCAAAAACCTTTAAGAAAATGCTTTATTTTTAAAAGTTTTTTTGCCAATTTAATAAGAAAAATGTCCACTGGCTCAAAAGTATCCAAAGCTGCTGAAAAAGCTGCTGAAAAATTTCTAGCAGATATTGCTCCATATGGAAAGGTTAAAACATTTAGTTTTTATAATGATATTTCTCCATCTGGTAATGTACAATGTATTCGCAGTGATAATGGAGGCGAATATTTATCAAAAGAATTCAAAGAACTACTTCTAAAACATACCATTAAATATGAGTTTACATCACTTTATTCCCCACATCAAAATGGAACCGCAACAAGATATTGGTGTTCACTATTTGACATGGCAAGAGCCATGATTTTCGAATCTAAGCTCCCAAAACATTTATGGATTATGCAATTAGCGCTGCAACATATATAAGAAATCGATGCTATGTGCAACGAATTAAAAGTACACCATACGGATTAGAAACTGGTTTAAGGCCAAACATTTCGAGATTACACTTATTTGGATCAGTATGTTACCCACATGTACATAATGTACAAATTGTATTTCCTTGAGAAATTCACTTAAAACATTCTGCCAATTTCTACCAATTTGTTACAACCACGAAGCATTAAAGGTTATTTTGTTGGATACAATAAAGACAGTCCATCATACCTAGTTTATTATCCAGAATCGAATTCAGTTTTAAAACACAGACTTGTAAAATTTACAGAAAAAATATGAATCTGTTGGCCAAATAGATACCTACAATACAGGTGATTTTATAAATGTTGAACCAAAAGCTAGAGCCTACACCTAAGCCATCCATTCCTAATAATAAACAAAATATACCTTAAGAAATTTCTTCATCACGTTACCCTCAAAGACAAAGACAAGCTCCAAAATATCTGGAAGATTACATATTTGATAATGATAATGACGATGTAATTAACTATATAGATTATTGTTATTTGATGAATATACCTACATCATACAGTAATGCTATCAACACCGATGAGTCTGATAAATGGAAAAATGCCATAAATGAAGAAATCCAATCATTAACGAATAATGATACTTTTGTTACTGAACTCCCAGCAAATAAAAAAGTAGTCGGGGGAAGATAGATCTACACAATTAAAGGGAACAATAAAAAAATTATATACAAAGCTAGATATGTTGCAAGCTACAAGCAAATTCAAGGGATTGATTATTTAGAAACTTTTTCACCTACAGCTAGGATGGAATCAGTCCGAATTTTAATGCAACTCTCTATCCAATATGACCTCATTTTACATCAAATGGATGTTAAAAGTGCTTATCTACATGCACCTATAGAACATGAAATTTATGAAAACCAACCTCCTGGTTATGAAAAAACTCACAACAATAAACAATTAGTATAGAATATAAATAAACCACTTTATGGTTTAAAACAAATTGGTAGAAATTGGCAGAATGTTTTAAGTGAATTTCTCAAGGAAATACAATTTGTTCAATCAAATGCTGATGCTTGCGTTTTTGTTAAAAGAAGCAATACTGAAATAGCAATGATCCTAGTATGGGTTGATGATATAATCATAGCTGCCAACTCAAATGAACTATTAATTAAAATTAGGAAAAAATTAAGTAAGCGATTTAAAATGAAAGATTTAGGACCATTGACTTCATTCCTTGGTATTCAATTCAAATCAACTAGTTGTTATATCACTATGAATCAATCAGATTACTTGCAAAATGTTCTACAAAAATTTGGTTTTGACAATTGCAAACCAAGATCAACCCCATGTGAGCAAGTTCCCAATTCATACCATAATCAAGAATAAATAAAATTGAATGATTCAGAGATAAAGCATATCGACAAATGGTTGGAAGTATTCTTTATGCAATGACATGTACGAGACCAGATTTGAGCTATGTTGTAACAAGATTATCTCAGCAACTATCAAATCCAAATAGTGGTAATTGGATTATGATTAAACATGTATTTCGTTATATTAAACATACTTTAAACTACTGTTTAACTTTTAGAAAGACTGATGAGTTAAAGCTTTATGCTTTCTGTGATGCAGATTGGGCTTCATCTTTCGAAGATCGACATAGTATATCAGGTTACTGTTTTTCTTTGTGTAAAAATGGACCAATCATAAGTTAGAAATCAAAGAAACAATCAAGTGTTGCACTTTCCATCTGTGAAGCTGAATATATGTCGATATCAGCAACTTGCCAAGAAATTAGTTATTTAACAAAACTATTAGAAGAATTATTAAAAATAAAATTCGAACCAGCAACCCTCAGAAACGATAACCAAGAGGCGATTTCATTGGCAAAAAATCCTATAAAACATATGAAATCTAAACATATAGACATATATTTTTACATATGTCTATATGTTTAGATTTCATATGTTTTCACATATAAAATGATAAACATATAGACATATGTATTATCATTTTATATGTGAACTTTACCAACAAGGTCGTATACAATTAGAGTATATACAATCAAAAGAAAATTACGCAGACGTTTTTACGAAGCCAGCAAAGAAAGATTTATTACAAAAGTTTAAGGAATTTTTATTTGGATTTTAAAATAGTATGTTGTCAAGTTGGGGTGTTGAGTTTTTATGACACCATCTTTAATATGTAATTATATCGGCACCATTTTTATGTGCCGTATATATATTTTATATATATAGTTTTTCAGCTTCAGCCACGACGCTATGTTTTATGTATACTTTTAATAATATTTCTAAACATTTATATCGTTATTTATTTCCTCCATCATGAGTGAATATAAAACATTAACAAAATGAGTCAAAAAAATAGTAAACTTAATAAATTTTTGCATTGTTAAATGAATCAAAAAAAAAATAATAAACTTAATAAACTTTTGCTTAATAAATTTTTGATTTGTAAAATGAATCAAAAAAATAGTAAACTTAAATAATTTTTGAATTGTTACATGAGTCAAAAAAATTGCAAACTTAATGAATTATTGCATTGTTAAATAAGTCAAAAAATTATAAATAGTAAACTTGATAAATTTTTGCCTTAATAAATGAATCAAAAAAATAGTAAACTTAATATATTTTTATATTGTTACATGAGTCAAAAAAATACAAAACTTAAAAATTTTTTGCATTGTTAAATGAGTCAAAAAAATAGTATAATTAACAAGCCTTTTTATTGTTAAATGAGTCAAAAAATAATAGTAAACTTAATAAATTTTGCATTGTTAAATGAGTCAAAAAAATAGCAAACTTGATGAACTTTCGTATTGTTAATTGAGTAAAAAAAAATAGTAAATTTGATGAATTTTTGCATTGTTAAACAAGTCAAAAAAATAGTAAACTTATGAAACTTTTGTATTGTTAAAGGGTTTAAAAAAATAGTAAACTTAATAAATTTTTGTATTGTTAAATAAGTCAAAAAAATAGTAAACTTAATAAATTTTTGAAGTGTTAAATGAATTAAAAAAATAGTAAACTTAAAAAATTTTCGAATTGTTAAATGAGTCAAAAAAAATAATAAACTTAATAAATGTTTGCATTATTATATGAATCAAAAAAAGCAAACTTAATGAATTTTTGCATTGTTGAATAAAACGAATAAATATTAAACTTAAAAATTATTGCATTGTTAAATGGATCCAAAAAATAGCAAACCTAATAAATGTTTGCATTGTTAAATAAGTCAAAAAATAGTAAAATTAATAAATTTTTGCATTATTAAATAAGTCAAAAAATAGTAAACTTAATAAATTATTGCATTGTTAAATAAAATGAATAAATATTAAACTTAAAAATTATTGCATTGTTAAAGGAATCCAAAAAATAGCAAACCTAATAAATGTTTGCATTGTTAAATAAGTCAAAAAATAGTATTCATAATAAATTTTTGCATTCTTAAATGAATCAAAAAAATAGCAAACTTAATAAATTTTTGCAATGTTAAATCGATATAGCTTTTTTATTGATAAGTATTTAAATAAAATTGTGGTATCATTACATATATGAAAGTTAATTGTGGCATCATTACATATATGAAAAATAAATTCACAACTTTTTTTTTGGCATTTACCAATCCAATCTCTAATAAAATCTCTAACCTTTATCACCACCACCATTACCTCAAGATCAAGGTACAGAAAAGAACACTCACTCCAAGAATACTACTTTTTATTGATGAGGGACAATTCCATATTAAAATATCCAACTTTTTTCAAAATGCAAGTCTCAGATTTTGCTAATTTTCACACCACTCAAAGATTTTAATAATTTATGAGGATCCTTAAAGTTTTATGATCTAATTCCTAACAAGTTTAAAGATTAAAACTATTTATACTTTACTTTGAATAACGAAAACTAGACATTTAAAAAAATTGTATTGGTCTTTTTTTCTGTTCTTTATTCAATGGAAGGCTGAAAAAAATGCATACTTGCATATTTTGAGGAAAGGAATCTAATAAAATGACTTTATATATTTAAAAAAAAAACATAAAATTATAACCTTTATTTATACACTTAAAATTATAACCTTCATTGCAATTTTACTCAGGCGAATTTATAACATCTGGAAAAAAATATTAAACTTAACTTGTCTATTAAATGAAAAAGTTTAGCAAGTTTATTATGCTAAAATATGAGTGCAAATGATTAGTATATTTTATAATCATTTCTCCTCCTTTAATTACAACTTCATCCAAAACTCTAAACCCAATTTATAAAGACTGTGCAAAATTAGTAACATCACCTCCTGAAATAACAATAATACTTGCCACTATTGCAGTATGTTTTCTAAAATGAAGTCCCTTTTCCAATTATTGCCAGAATTTTTTTCTTTAAAATATTTTTTGGGTAAAAAACAGAAGTAGATTGTTCATATTTGCTACATATTCATAGCCAGAATCTAACAATCATTTTGACTGTGAATTATCTTTTAAGCTCAATTTTATAAAATATTAAATGCTAAACTACATAAAATAATAAATTCACTAATTATATAAAATTTTTTGTAGCACCTATAATTTAAATAATGGTAAAATAAAAAAGTTATGGTAAACAACTTTATTAAATAATTATATTTTTTACAAATTGTCTCAACCAATTGTCAGTAAAAGAACAACTGTTTATTATTCATCAAAATTAATTTATCAAATCAAACTTGTTTAGATAGCAATAAAAATTTTTTTTTAATTAAATTTATTTACTAATGATATACATTTATTGTGATATCTCTGTAATAACTAAATTATTTTAATAAATAACCAATAAAAATGCTTTTTGGTTTTCATAGTTTTTAAAGTGGGGGCAGGGGGCAAATTTATCAATTTTTTTTAAAAAAGCCTTGATCTCTTAAAATTAAAAAAAAAAAGTGCAAAGTGAGTTTCAATTTCTTGAAAAAGAGTTGACAAATAATGAACACCAAATCTTTGAAAAAGACACTGAACTAATTTAAAAAAAGAGAGTTATATTTGTTGAAACAAAACAGCCATACATGACCAGGTCAAAATCAAAACTTATATTTAAACATAACTCTCAAATTATTCAAAAAGTACTGTGATAATCAAATTATTCAAAACAAATTTTAATATAAAAAAATTAGGACTATTTATTTGGTGTTATGTTTATTTTTAATATTTTGAATTGTTTTATTGGGTTCTTTGCCTCAAAGTATGTAAGTATACATATTTCAGCTTTCCATTACACACAAAACAGAAACAAAGATCAAAACCATTTTTTAAAATGGCAGATTTTTGTTAATTCAAGGCAAAGTTTAAACAGTTATAACTTTGACCAACAACATCTGTCTTGGTTCAAACCATAAGTTTTTTATATATTATGTTTTAAATGTATTTAATATACAATTTTTATAAGAAAAATCAAAATAATGTACCACTTGATTAATTTCTTTTTATATAATTTTTTTTTATCATATATGATACATATATCACATGATATCACATATGATATATAAAAATAACAAACATAATATCACATGATATATGATTATAACAAATTTTATTATTCCAATGTTTTTAAAGAAACCAATAAAATTGTTTTAAAAGATTTGTAAAAATGATAAAACATAAAACCTAACTAAGCCAACATGTAAAAATGTATATATTATGAAAAAAGAAAACTATTTTTTTAATTAAAATCAAACTAACATAAAAATAGATAATGAAAAAAGTTGAACTTGAAGTTTTAAAGTGCACTTCTATTTAAAAGTATATGAAAAAAATACCCCTATTCATTTATCTTAATCCTTTAAAAGATTAAGGTATTCATGGTTTATATTTATTTAAAAGAAAATCAAAAAAATAATAAATTTGATGTATAGTATTTTACATTGTAATAAAAGTCACAATACTGAATAATCACTGAAATAAATCTGACACCATTTTTACTTTTTAAGCAAACAAAGCACACTGAAACTGAAAACAATTATTTTGGAAATTAGTTAATGTTTTTTAAACAAAATAAACAATTACCTTTGTTGACAGAAAATATGGTAAAACTTTCAGGTAAAATTGAAATTTCTAAATGATAAATTTAAGTAATTACATAACAAATAAAAATTTTCACAAAGTAAAAAATATTTAAAAAAGCAGAGACTGTTAGTGGTGCTTATGGGGTCTATCTAAAAAGTCAGTAAAGATAGTTATCTCTTAGTACCTTCAGAGTCCACAAGAGAACTATCCAAGGCACAAAACTTAGCCCGCAGACTTTAAGAAAAAAAAATCCTTTTTGTAAGGAAAGAAACACAAAAATTTTACAAAAGTGCAATGGTAATACAAAGAATCCTTAGTTTGAATTTAAATTGTTTGAATGCAAAAGAAGCTTTGTAATTTTCTTAAAAATATTTTTAAAGATTGTTAAACCTTCCTATAAATTTACAAAATAAACAGACAAAAACAATTTCATTTACACATTTCAAAGATGTCTTAATAACTTATCATGGCCATACTTTATTTGTTAACAGATTTCAAACATGCATGACCATCATATGGAATCTGATGGTCATGCATGACCATCAGATTCCATATGATGGTCATGCATGGTCACCATCCTCTGGGTCAACTCAACTAATTCTTAGCATTTTCCATTTTGCTTTAAAAACTCAACTGCTGATTACTTTAGGTGCAAATTGCATTTCTCTCATAGAGAACCTTTCTTGATCTAACTCTGCACACACATAGTAGATATCATTTAAGACAAAGATTTTTGATTATCACACATTTGGTGGTAATATGAGAATTACGTTTGAATATTAATTTTGATTTTGACCTGGACATGTATAGCATTCAACAAATCTAACTCTCTCTTTTTTTTTAAATTAGTTGTGTCTTTTTCAAAGATTTGGTCTTCATTATTTGTTAATTCTTTTTCAAGAAAATTATCTTGAAACTCACTTTACACTATTTTTTAAAAAGAAATTTTAAAATATCAAGGACCTCTTTTAAAAAATTGATAAATTTTCCCCCTGCTTCACTTTGGAAACTATAAAAGCCAAAAAAATATTTTTATTGGTATGAAAATTTATTTGAAAAAAACAAAAGCGAAGCTGTCTCAAGCGGAGTAAAACAAATTTTTAATTAAAACTTATTTTGACAATATGCAACTTTTCTTCATTTTAGTTTAAATTCAAATTGTACGATGACTTTATATGTAAGTATACATGCATGGGTATACCCAGTAAACACCGTACGATAGCACTTTATAACGAGTCATTGTATGGCATCATTTTGCCTTATTTGCTGAGCCTTTGCATTTTTCGGCTTGCATTTGCAGCTGATATAGAAGCCTAAATACTAACCAACTTATTTGGAAATTTATTAGGCCATGATTGGCTAATAAATTTATATATTTAAACCTGCAATAAAGCTGCAATAAAGTCGGATTATATATAATATAGCTGCAATATAGCTGCAATGAAGTCGGATTTTTTAATATGGCACACATTTTCGACTAACACTAAAAAATCATTTTGGACCAATATTATTGGAAATAAGTTATTATTATTATAGAACTGTATTTAGTTTTGAAGTCATATTAAATTTCAAAGTATACATATATATGTATTATACACATATTTTTTCTTCATAGTTTTAGCTTATTTACATTTTAGCTTTTATAAAGTTTATATAACTTATATAAAAAAGGATTTAAACAGGTCATGGATTCTAAGCCATCTTATTGTTCAAAGAGAAGAAAAATAATTAAATCTGTCAACAAAATTATGTTTGATATTGATACAAAATCTTTTTTGGGACTCTATATACCTGAACATTTCCTATATTTGAAAACAAGATTTAGTAAAATAAGCTGTGGCTGATGTTGTTCGACCATATTTTTAAAGTGTGATTAAACAGTTGGAGGAAATTAAGTCAGAGTTACGTGTACAGCGCCAAAAATAAGTGTCTTCTGGTTATAATTCAAGTGGAAATCTTCCAGAAAACTTTATATTTCCATTAAAAGAATGTCCATCAAATGCAGTAAGTTTTATATTATCATTATAATATATAAAGAATATAAAAGTTTACATTTTTTTTAAAATTAAGAACTCAAATTAGTATATTTTTCCTATTTAGAATTGACTTCATATATAATAACACTTATACTTTAGTAAACTCATTTTCATATGATATAGCTAATGATAAATGTTTATTTCTTTATTTCTAAATGGTAAAAGTGGAAATGATAAATGTCTATTTCTTTATAGGTTATCTTTTTGTTTTTAATTGGAGGAAGTAGTCTTGATGATTGTTTGAGAAAAGTTGCTAAGAAAACTTTGACAGTAAAACTATCAATGTTTTATAACTTAATGCTTTATAACGTTACAGGAAAAAAAAGAAAAATTAGAGTTTGGTTTAAAACAATGTTAAGTCAATGATTGATGTTAAGTCAATTTGCTTTTGAATATTACAATAACAATTATTATTCTTGAAGTTATGCATGATTTTCAAATAGATCTTTAAATAAAATGTCATGGCATGCAGAGTACAAATATTCAAAAACTTATCGCCATTATTATGCCATTGTTTGGCCTGTGTTGGACAATTGCTGAACCAATATTGGGCTGTAATTAGCCATTTAAACCATTATTAGCCTAATATTGGAACCATGATTTATCCAGTAATCTGCCGATTTTTTTCCAAAAAAAGCCCCATTTGCGCTCCCCAATATTTTCCCAATGTTTGCAGCCAATATTGGTCTAAAATATTACCCAATAATTGCCAATAATTTATATATATATATATATATATATATATATATATATATATATATATATATATATATATATATATATATATTTATGTGTGTATCTGTATGTATATATGTGTATAAGTATATATGTATACATTTAAATATAAGGAAATATATAGTCAGCAATATTTTGCCAAACTTAATCTGTTAGAGATTGGCGTCAGGTCAGCAAATAAAATATAAATATATGTGTGTAATTGTCATAAAAATGTTTCAATGTGTATATAGATATATTTAAATATACCATTGTTAGAATTTTATCATTATTATTATTGTGATTACCTTTAATTTTACTATTATCACTATTTTTAATAAAATCACTATTTTTAAAAATATAATTCTTCTTCTTATCATTAATATCATTATTTTTATTATTATTAATACTATTTTTATTATTATAGTTATTATTAATGTTATTTTTATTGTTAGCGTTATGATTTTTAGAGTTGTTATTATTTATTATTAACATCATTAGTATAAAGTGTTTACAGATTATTAGTAATTATGCAATTCGTAAACACCCGAATTGTAAGATCATGTAAATCAGAATATATTGATTGATTATCAAATCAAACTTTCTTTTATGTTTTTTAGCATCTTTAAAATTTTTAAATAGAAGTAGAAGTGATTGTGGTTGCTGACCTAAAGTGAAAACCTAACCAACAAAAAAAAAAATTAATTGTTTTTTTCTAAAAAGGTTATTTAAGGATAACTGGTTAAACAAAAATTATAAAATTTTGGACCCCTTTCTTCCACCCCACCTAGAGATGTAAGTCGTTTTTTTGGTACTTGTTTTTTTGCCAAAAAAACCGTTTTTTTGGCCAAAAAAACTGAGGACTTCGTTTTTTTGTTTTTTTGTTTTTTTTGCGTTTTTGCCTTAAAAACTACTCTTTTTGCATTTTAAACACTGAAATGGTTTTAAAATTTATTTTTGGTGATATTTATTAAATACTTGTTTAAATACTTCCATTTACCATATTTTTAGTATTGTCTTAGTTTAGCAATTGTTCATTTATTCAAAAAAAAAAAAAAAAAAATTTGAAAAAGCAGCATTAATTAGAAAAACAATTTTTTTTTTTAATAATTTTTAATAATAATTCTTATAAGTAAAGACAAAGAAGTAAATTTTTATAAGTAAAGGCCATGAATTGTATCTTTTTTAATATTGATCTGTTTTAAGAATTTATTAAATGAATGAAGTAACACTGCATCGCAAAATATGTCATATCCGGGAATTTTTGGTGTGGGTGTGAAGGGGAATCGGGGCTTGTTAAAAATTTAGTTTATTTTGTATCACATTTTTGCCTACTAAAAAAAAATTTAAAAATTTAAAGATATTTTATAAATTTATGGATTCTGGTGCGGGATGGTAGGTTCATACTTCTCATTTCCCCTGGATCTGTCACTGGTTTTAAAATTACAAAATTATTTTTCAACTTTTTTAACTTCTTCAACTTATGTTCATTAAATTTTTTATTAATCCATAATTTGAATAATAATAAATGTATTATTTAATAGAATGAATCAGAATTATCTAAATAAATATTTTTATTATATGAAAGAAATATATTTATTATATGAAACACTGCTTTGCAAAATAAAAAAAGGTAATCATTTTCATGTTTAATATAAGGAAAATGAATAATTTTTTTGAGGTAAAAATCTTGAAATTTTTTTAAAAAATAAATAACTGTTTAGCCATTTTCCTAATCAAAAAGATAAATATTTTTATACCATTTTGGCTAAACACTCTGTTTACACAAAATTAGTAAACAAATATATCATAAGAGTTGAAAAAAATCCAAAAAAACTTACACCCAAACCAAAAAAACGCCAAAAAAAATAAAAAAAACAACAAAAAAATGCGTTTTTTTGGGTGAAAAAAATGCGACAGCAAAAAAACACGTTTTTTTGCAACACTAACCCACCCCCATCCACCCTAAGATATGTTAAGTCATAAAACATAAATAATATAAACAGAAGTACAACAATAAATAAAAGAATAACAAATATGATAATAAGAAAAATAATGGGAAGTTAAAAATGAACAGCAATTTACAACCATATATATATAAAAAATAACATTAACAAACAATTTATAATTATAGAGAATAACAAAAGTAAAATAATTTAACAATATAACATTAAAAGTTAAATTTTTAAAACATAAAAACATCAGATAAAACCTTATAATTCTCAAGTAACAATTTATTGGCTACTTTAGTATGACATGTCAGTCATACTAAAGTAGCCAATAAATTTATTGGCTACTTTAGTATGACATGTCAGTCATACTAAAGTAGCCAATAAATTTATTGGCTACTTTAGTATGACATGTCAGTCATACTAAAGTAGCCAATAAATTTATTGGCTACTTTAGTATGATTGACATGTATGTCATGTCAGTGACATTTTAAAGTAACTAAATCTGATAGATGTGTGTAATAAAATTCTTAAACAAATCTGATAGATGTAACATACAAATGTGTGTAATGCAGGGGTTGAAATAAGTGCCGGACATCGCCGCCCCTCAGACCATTTTTGACACCTGCTATATGAGGGCAACCAACCATTGATCATTTTTACTGAAAAAATGAACAATGGTTTGTTGTCCCCATCTAGCAAGTCTCAAAAATGGTCTGAGGGGCGGCGATGTCCCGCACTTATTTCGACCCCTGGTGTAATGCATCAATATAATACTTTTATTATACTTACCAGAAAAATATTTTATCAGATCATTCCTTCCAATTATTTTAAGTACCTCACAAAAAGCAACATTGTTATCAATCCCTAGAAGCATACGATGTTCTAAAGTTTGAATTAATTCAATAGGAGATTCGATCTTTTCTAGATAACCATAGCCAATTTGTTGTGAATAATAAAATTTAATTGCTTTAACATCTTTGTCCAACAAATTATTTGCAATTTTAAGCAAAACTTCTTTATATTTTTTATTATCCATATCTTCAAAAAACTAAATAAAAATTCTATAGATTACTTTGAATATTTAAACATTTTACAAATGTAAACAAATAATATTATTAATTATTTTTTAACAAAATAAATATAAAAAAATATTATATTTATTATAATAATAGTATAATGTAATATATAATATGTCGTATAGTGTAGTAATAATTATCATTAATTTAAATATATAAATAAATTTTAAGATTTTAAAATTTTCATTTATTGGGTTGCAAAATTTTGGAGATTTTCAAAAAAAGATATGTTATTTTATATTTAATGGGTAAAATTTTTGTTATTTGCTATAACATGTTCATTCCCATATTTGTCAATATCTATTAAACTGACCAATATATAATGTTCATTGCCATATTTGTCAATATCTATTAAATTGACCAACAAATTACTGAAAACTGTAAAATTATATATATAAAAATATTTTACATAAGTATTTGGAGTTTTTTACAATTTTTTTCTTGATTTAAAGATGTTATCAATTAATAAAAGGTAAAATGTAAGGAAATTCTTTTTGCTAAATTTAAACTATTTAAAAATAAAGTTAGCAATAAAAATAAAATAATGATTTTGAGGTCATAAGTCCACTGCTATATTTGAGTAAGTATCTACTTTTTGTTTTTATCTACTTTTTGTTTTCATCTACTTAATTTAAATTTCAACCCTACATAACATACACTTAACACATGTATCTATTTTAAATGGTTATAAGACTCTATATCTTAATGAAAGTATGTTATGCTAATATTTCTTAAGCTTGTAGATAGTATAATTTTTCAAACTCTGTGTTGAAAACGCTGATTCTAATAACATCTTTAAAATATCATAGTACAAGAGGATAAATAAAATACAAACATTGCTGTGTTAGCCCATTAATGGTGTTAATGTAAATGTTTTAGGTGTGTATTGTTGAGGCTACTTAGCAATCTTTTACTACAACTTTAGGTTTATTAACAAGATAAAGCAACTACTTACCTATACTTATACAGAATCAAGTAATTGCATAGCTAAGGGAGTACAAATAACATACACTCACTATTATACAGGATCTGTAAAATATAACTTTATGTAAGTATATAGCAAACTTATGAATTGACTATAAAATGTGTTTAATGTGTTTAATGCGCACCATTATTATTACAATAGGTTTAGCAGCCTAACGTATGGCCTAGGATGTTGATATTGATAGCATCAAGAGTTTTTGCTATAACTTCATTCAATCTTAAGACAGCTGATGCATGGGTATGAGAACATAACAGAATAATATTGTTTATGTTGTTATTTTTTGCGCAGATAACATAACATAACAGAACAGTCTTTACTTTAATTCTTACAACTTTTAAAAGCTGTTTGAGTTGTTTCTGCAAATTTTACACCAGGTTAAAGTAACTTCTAAATCATTTGTTTGAAAGATGATGAATTTAAACTAGGGCTGTACCGGATTTAATTTTTTCCAAATCCGGCCGGGGCCGGATTTGCCGAATTTTTACTGACAAATCCGACCAAAGCCAAATCCGGAGCCGGATTTTGAAACAAAATTACAGGAGCTGAAATCCGGAACATCTTTACATGACATTGATAATGATCAACAATGTTGACCATTCTCAATACCAAGAACTGTTACAACTGTTTTTTGTTAAACTTCATTGTTCTTATTAAAATAGCACACAATTTCACATAACATAACATAATATAACACAATAATTAATAAGTGATTGAAACTTTAAATTTAAAAGTCAAGTAAAGTAACTTCAGTTTCAGTTATTTTTCTTAATTGTCTTTAATCAGTTCTGATGGTACACTTGTCAGTGGGGTACCCAAATAAACTCGAGCTACTGTTGCCAAAGCTGGCAATCATTGCATGTTGTCACTCCACCACTGTAGTGGATCAGCGTGTCTATCTATTTCTGGTTCTGCCAGATACTGGCTTAGTTGGGTAACAACACCTGTTGGTAATTGTTGTTCTGTGCCACCAGCAGACGTAGACTGAATAATTTCATCAATACATCGCCAGAGTAATGATGATGTAGAAAAATTATTAAATTCTAAATAGCATCTATTTTTTTTAAAAAAAGTTTTGTTCAGGCACATTAACTTGTTTAGAGTTTTTTCAAATTGTAACAAACTTGCTACAATTAGAGAAAATTATAAGAACTTTTTAAAATGTAAAATAGTAAAACTAATTCAAAAAAAAAAATTGAATAACTTTTTAACAACTTAATTGTGATCTATTTTTTAATAGACACATTACACATTAGAAATAAATCACATAATAATAATAATTTATTTTTAATAGTAAAAAATTTCAAACAAGCTTGTTAAGATATCAAAAATATCAATGCAACTAACAAGCACACACACGCACACAAAAGTCCTTTGTCTCAATTTATACAAACTAAGGATTGTTAAAAGTTAGATAAAATAATATTAAAAATAAACAAAAATTTCTATCATAAACTTAAAGCTATTTGAATCTTAAAACTGTGTTAAGCAAATATTAAATTTGGTTGATACAGCTAAAAAATAATATCAATACTTTTATTTCATGCTGATACAAGTTGGCAAAAAATGCTTTTGATTTACTGCATCTTTTTACAAAAGAATTAATGATTTAATTGGTTATAAAAACATTACTTTAAAAGAACATTAATTTAGAGAATAACTATTTTAAAAATGTAGCAATTAAACTTTATATAAGTATATAGAAAATTTTTGAATTGACTATATACAGTGTGCCAAAAAAAATGAAGCAAACAATTTTTTTTCAAATTTTTTATTTTTAAACTTAAATAAAATACTAATAAATACTTTTTTTTAGGAGAGATATACTTTATTATATTTAGTTCAATATTTTATTTCCATTTTATAAATTCCATGATTAAATTTTTTTTAATTTTAAATTAATGTAAATTGACTTTGATTTAAAGTGCAAAATAAAAATTGCAGAAAATTTTTTTTTTTGAAGGAACTTAATCATAAATCACATTTTAGTATCAATAAATCACATTTTAGTATTTGGTGAGTCCACCTTTAGCCTGGATAACAGCTTCACATCGTCTTGGCATTGATTCAACCAAACTTTTTCTGGCATAATTTTCGCCCATGCCGCTGTAAACAGGCCCTTTAAGCTCCTTTTTCTTTCTAAGCGACCGATCTCCAATTTTTCTGTCCAGAATAGCCCACGAATGTTTAATGGGGTTCAAGTCCGGGCTTAGTGCGGGCTATTCAAGGACTTCCACACTATTACCAGTGAACCATTTTGTTTTATCTTTAGCTGTGTGTTTGGGGTCGCTGTCTTGCTGGAAAATATAACTATTGCCTAGTCGCAATTTTTGAGCTGAAGACTTGAGATTATTTTTGCGAATCTCTCTGTATAATAGAGCATCCATTTTTGAGTCAATAAATGCCCGTTTTCCAATTCCTTACCAAGCCATAGATCCTCAAGCCATAATATTGCCACAGCCAAACTTTACTGTGCCTTTCATACAGCTCAATTTATATAATTCTCTTTTCTTGCGCCAGACTTTTTTAGCTCCATCAGATGACTTCAAAATAAATTTAGATTCATCACTGCATAAAATCTTTTTCCAGAAATTAATATCCATGTTTCTGTACTTTTTAGCAAAATCCAATCAACGTTTCAAATGATTCTTTGTCAAATATGGCTTTTTACCAAGATGTCTTCCTTGGAAACCAGCTTCCTTGATCCTGTTACGTATTGTTTGAGGCTAGATCTTGATGCAGTGTTCATTTTCCAACAAATCAATAAGAATCGATTCCAGTCTGCCAGTAATTTAGCTAAAAAGGTGGAAATATAATTAAACACATTAAACACTGTAATGTGTTTAATGTGCACCATTATCATTACAAAAGGTTTAGCCGCCTAACATATGGTCAAAGATGTTGATATCAAGGAACTATTTAGTTATTTTAGACGGTTCACTGTAGTTTTGCTCATTGGTTATAGTAAGTGACAGGGCTTGATATTTGACCAGGGCCAGGGCCAGGTTTGTGACCGGGACTGCATAAACATTTATACATCCTAAAGAATTTTTTTTTTTCAAAATTCATGCTATACTTTGTATATATATGCGTATATAAACATCCTAAAACTAATTATATGATATTTAGAAATAGTAAACCAACCTTTTAATGGTGACCTATTTTTTAACACTTCACAAATAAACCACATAATAATAATTATTTTTAATAGAAAAAAATGTTAAAAAAGCTTGTTAAGAAAAATTATTTAAATAATATAATATTAATAATTATAATGCAACAAACATGCATACACATGCACACAGAAGACCTTTGTCTCATTTTATACAAACTAAGGATTATTAAAAATTAGATAAAATAAAATTAAAATTTAACGAAACAATCTCCTATAAACGTAAAGCTATTTGAATCAAATCTTGAAACTGTGTCAAGCAAATATTAAATTTGGTTGATACAGCTAAAAAAATAAAAGTAATTAGCATACATTCATTTCATTTACAATACATTTACATCACCAATACAATCATATGAATAGAACGATTTGCTTTATCAAAAACTAATGTCTTTTTAAATTACTTATAATGTGGTAAAATCCTGTGTTTGTTTTAAGGTTTTAAGCAAACCAATACAATCATATGAATAGAATGATTTGCTTTATCAAAAACTAATGTCTTTTTAAATTACTTATGTGGTAAAATCCTGTGTTTGTTTTAAGGTTTTAAGCAAACTTCAACTTGAAAAAAAAAGTTGACAAAAGAAAATAGAAAAGCAAATTCAGAGTTTGCTTTTCTGCCAACCTTTTTAGGTTTAGGTGCCAACCTGAAACTGTTTTAGGTTTTTATTGTTTGCGTTACCAGTTTGCTGTTTGGGTATTTCAATTAAAAGACCCAATTTATCTCTAAACTTATCCTGGATTTCATTCTTTTTTCTCTCCACCTTATCTTTATTTTCATTCCCTCTTGCTTGCCATATTTTAATTTCTAAGCAGTA